TTTTTTTTTGTATTGTGTTGAGTTGTATTTGTTGTTGATTAGTGAATATAATAACACATGAATTTGTTAATTTGAGGAAATGTGTGTTTTTTGTATTGTGTATAAGTTGTGGTTGTTTTCATAAATATTTATTAAGTAAATCGAATTTCAACTACGTAGAAGATTCTACAGGTTTTGATGTGTTTAGAACTATTAAAATGGTACTAGCATGTACCATGTGTAATACACATTCGAGTTGGACCATGAAAGGCCCAGAGATAATAAGCGCCAGCAAGGCGTATGATTGGATGACTACTTGCCAAGTAAGCAAAGTTCATCAGATCGAATACTGACGGCTCCGAAATCTGTCGGCATCGGGGTGGGCGGAGGTCCGGCTCGACAAAGTGTAAAGTTACTAGGAATAATGCGTATGAAAAAAATTCCGAAATTGTTGTCTTCACACCTGAAGAACGAGGTCGACCTTTGAAAACACAAAACACAACAAAAGATCTAGAAGATCAGAAGACGAGGACAACTAAAGTCGTAGAGGAAGTCCGGTCTTCACGATTTTCTAGATCGGACCCTAGTGCACATTCAGAATATGGGAACAATAAAATATTGTCACTTGTCAAGTTGTGATTGTCGATCGGACGCGCCAACCTAATCTGCAACCTTACTAAACATAAAATTATAGGACGACCTGTCAGCATTAAATGTATCCCCCACGTGTACATTATATGCCTCACAAATAATCATTAGTTTAACATCAAAAATCTCATTTAATGCTCGTCAGAACGGTACTAGACATCTGTCATACCTAGTTATTGTACGAAGTGACATGATAAACAGTACCAACTTGTAATAGTATAAATAGGCAAACAAAATTTGATCCTCTGCCCACGGTGGACAGTGCCCACCACTTTATTTGACATGAAAAACGTATTCTGAGAATACGTTTTCAATTAAATTAATTGAAAACGTATTCTCAGAATACGTTTTTCATGTCAAATAAAATGGTGGGCACTATGAGCGAAACTAATAGACAAACACCCTTATTTATTGTGGGTTAGTTGAAAAACTCACCAACTCTCTATCTCTCTCTACGTTTATTCTCTAAACTATGTAATAAGACATTGAAAAATTAACTGTGTGAGTGCGAAGCCAACCTAGTCTTAAGAGGCCGACCTCACTAACAAAGTAATAAAGCTTATTTCCTTGCAAATCGTTTCCCTTTTTCTCATCTATTAATCCTGAGTCCTAATTTAGCCGTTGGTCGATTTTTAATTGTCAAGAAATTTAAAAAGCAATAGAGTTATCTTTCATTTTCCACCATTTTTAATTTGTGTGTACTTTAAAAAATAATAAGGTTATAAACAACGATAATTAAAAGAGAGAGATATTGAATGGATATGGGAAAGTGCTTATTCTAAGAAAGAAATGAATGACATCGATTGTTCCTTCAACATCTGACAATTTGTATGACTAACTTGTAAAATAATTAATATATTATTTTACAAACACATTTATACTAGTATAAATTCGATTTTAGTATATATATTATTCCATGATATAATAAAAAAAATAATATTTTTACTTATTCTCGTTCACCATATAATAGTTAATTATTATATTATTATAAACTTTGTTGTCATATAATATAATTATTATATATAAAAGTTATAAAAGTTGTATGTTCTTATACTTCTTATTTTAGGTAATGAAAATTATTTAATGCAAGTTACTATTATTTATTTATGCAATCAATTTAAAATATGTAAATAAAATTAAAATTTAGGGTATAAATATTTTAAAATATATACACACATGGTTTTTTAGAATTTAATATTATATACAAATTAAACAACTTTGATTTAGCAAAAGACAAAAAATCAATACCTTATTTAATCAAGATTTTTGTAATTTGCATTATAAGGATTTATAGATTATTTAGTATACTTTGCAATGAAAATATATTTATAGAAATAATTCAAAATAAAAATTGATACAAAAAATCATGGTTACCAATAATATATAAACATTATTTTTTTAGCAAAAGTTAATTCACCAACCTTGATTCGCCTGATTAATTGGTAGATCTACATGACTGCATAGATTATGTTTGGTAACAAATAAACTAGTTTATATCTTATTTGATTAGTTTAAAAACTCCCTATAGTCAAATAAGTTTCATTTGATAGGACGAAATTTTTTAAACAAACTTGAGATTATCTGATAATCTTGTTTTGGTAGCTTTTCAAATAAGCTCGTTGTTTTTTTAAACTTTAACTAGCTTATCAATTAATTTTACCAAACAATTGTATCATATAAACTAATTTTTAGCTATAAGTCAAAAACTGTAAGATATAAACTCGAAATTCACATTATAAGTTATAAACTAATTTATCAGCTATCAACTAGCTTATAGCTGAAACATGTAAGATTAAAATAGTAGGTGGAATTTATCAACTATCAACTAGCTTATAACATGTAAGTTATAAACTAATTTGGTTTATAGTATTTCAACTATATTTGCTAAAACTAACTGATAAACTGACTTTTGTAGCTTATAAGTAATTGTCGAGCTTTTAACTTAAGTTGTGTTTGTATATAAATTATCTCAACTCATACCATATTCTTATTCAAAATCTACTCAATTTTAATTAAATCCCACTATTTTCAATATTATCAGTTTAATTAAATAATAACAACAAATCATTCTTACATATCACATAACTTTAATTCACTTTTCATCAACTCATATAAATTTAACTAATCATCACTTCACATCATATATCTCTTACTTTTATATCAATCAAATTTAATTATATTATTTTCAATATTATTTTAATATAAACTCAAATTTATACTAATAACTAATCATAGTATCTTTTTTAAAATCCCTTCCTATATATTAATTCAAAACGTTTAGAGCCTGATTGGCAGCTTCTCACGCTTCGAATGCTGATATGACAAAAATCTATGTTTTGTGATGTTGTTTTTATATTATTTTTGCTCTGGAGTTAAGTTTGATTATACGTCAATAACTTTCATCATATATTTCTTAACTCAACACACCCATGTTGTACATGAGTATTGTATTAATTAGCTTTATTTAACAAAAAAAAAAAAAATCATTTGAGCGGATATATGTGTATACAAACACACCCTTATAGCTTATGACTTAGTTGAACTATTATTTATTAAGGGATAACTAGCGCATGGCCCGTGCGATGCACGGGAAAATAATATTACGACTGTGTTATAAATTAAATATACAAATAAATTAATCAAAATTTACTCATCGTTTTTAAATTAAACCTTGTTGGACACAGTCTGACCGAATGGACCGAGAACCAGATTATAATCAATATAGTTCACTTGAATAAAATATTTGCTATTAAATCCGTCAACACCAGTCGGTTGTACTGGTATGATCAATACGATTTTCTAAATAAATTTTTCTATATTTAACTATTTTGTTAAATAAAATTACATATTAAATAAAATAGAGATTTATATCAATTAACTTAAACATTTGAATTCTTCAATTGTTTAGATATTTGAATAACACAATTTGTTCAAATTTATTACAAAGTGTACTGTGTGATTTTTATAAATTAAATTGTATGATTAAATTGTATAATTATATTAAAGCGTATTTATAAATTAAATTATTTGATTTTTAAGGAAAAATAAAAAAATTATTATTTGTGGATTGTATTAAATGTTGACCTATTTTTTTATTATTAATAATAAATAGGATTATTCTCTATATAAGTATAGAAAATATAGTGAAGATTGGTTAGTTCTTACATTATTATATTTTTATCTGTTATTACTTATTATAGATTTTGGACACGCACGGTTTATTTTACCTTTTTTCTTGATTAGGGATAACAGAACTTCAACAGTTCCAAATTCAATTAAAAAATCTATCGAAAATGGGTAATCACCATGGGCGTCACTCAAACCCTGGCCACCGACACCAGGCGAATCGCCCTTATCTGTACAATCACGGGCAACAACCTGTAAATTCAGCTCCGGCGATTTCAACCCCGATTGCGAATCCCGACATGGGTCTGCGCTTGCCTTACGGGCACGTGGATTCCAGCTTGCGGACGCTGGCTGGGCAAGCCGAGGGCTTCGGCCGCTTCGCCGTCGGCGGCGTAAATGGAGACGTTTATTGTGTCACCACGCTCGCCGGTGAGGAAAAAAAAATTCATAAATTTTGCTGCTTTATGTATTTTGATCTGTAAGTTTTGTTGTTGGCCTTTGTATTTGGTTGACGTGGTTGATTTTTTTTTTTTTGTGAATTTTTCATTTATTTGTTTTATTTTGTGGGTTCTGATTGCAGGACGTGTTTACCGGTTAATTGTTCTGCGAAATTATTTATTCGCTTTATGTATTTTAATCATGGAGTTTGCTGCTTTATGGATTTTAATCCGAAAGTTTTGCAGTTGGCTTTTGTATTTGGTTAAATGTGGTTGATTTTGTTGTGCATTCTTATTTTCTTTGTGTTTTACTTTGTGGGTTCTGGTTGGAGGACGCGTTTATGTGGTTAATTGTCGGCAACATTATTCGGTGTATGATTTTGAGCATAAAGTTTGCTGCTTTATGTATCTCAATCTGAATGTTTTGCTGTTGGCCTTTGTATTTAAATGTGGTTGATTTTGTTGTGCATTTTCATCTTTTCTTGTTTTTACTTTGTGGGTTCTGTTGGAGGACGAGTTTACGTGGTTAATTGTACTGTGAAATTATTCATTTCATGTATTTTAATCAAAATGTTTGCTGCTTTATGTATTCTAATATGAAAGTTCTGCAGTTGGATTTTGTATTTAGTTAAACGTGGTTGATTTTGTTATGAATTTTCATTTCTTTGTGTTTTTTACTTTGTGGGGTTTGTTAGATTACGATTTTATTTGGTATATTGTCTGGCAAAATTATTTGCTTCATATATGTTAATCATAAAGTTTTCTGCCTTATGTTTCCTGATTTGGAATTTTGCTGTTGGCCATTGTATTTTAATGAAACGTGAAAACGTGGTTGAATTTATTGTGCATTTTTCATTCATTTATGTTTTTACTTTGTGGGTTCTGGTTGGAGGACGAGTTTACATGGTTAGTTGTCTGGCGAAATTATTCGGTTTATGCATTTTGATCATAAAGTTTGCTGCTTTATGTATTTGAATCAGAAAGATTGCTGTTGGCATTTGTATTTAGTTCAATCTGGTTGCTTTTGTGGTGAATTTTAGTTTCTTCGTGTTCGTTACTTTGTGGGTTCTGGTTGGAGGACGAGCTTATATGTGGTTAGTTGTCCGGCGAAACTATTGATCATGAAAGCAAGAGATTTGAATTTGTTGTTTAGCACGTGTCTGGTAAGAAAGAAAGAGAGGGCTGCTTTTCAAATTTATCAAGTAAGTATTAAACGAGGCCATTTGGTTTTCGAGTTCGTGTTGTGGTGGTTAATATTCAATTGATGTCTTGAATATTTCAAATGCAACACTTAAAACCAAAAGCTTCCGTTTTTGGAGTTGCAAAATATTATGGTATTTTGAAAAATAATACGGTATATTCATGTCTTTGTTTCTGTAAAAGAAAACCGAGCTTGTTGATCCCCCATTAGTTTTTCTTGAAATAAAGCATTCACTTCTTATTTATGATCGAGCACCTCTCAAATTGGGCATATTGCTCCCACATGATTTCTTTGGATCACACACACACACACACACAACACATGTGGGTGTGTGTTGATCCGATGGTTAAAACTCAATAGTTCAGAAAGTATATAATACTGTCATGTGTTCTACTTCTTCCGATTTTCTTTTTAATTTTCTTTAACTGGTCCTTCAGTTTACAATTTACAGTTTATCGATCTTGCTCTATCTATTTCCAGATGATGGGCCGGGCTCTCTTCGTGATGCGTGCCGTAAAAAAGAACCCCTGTGGATCATATTTGAAGTTTCAGGCACGATTGAACTCTCGTCTTACCTTAGTGTTTCCTCTTACAAGACAGTTGACGGGCGTGGTCAAAGGGTCAAACTCACCGGGAAAGGGCTGAGGCTGAAAGAGTGTGAACATGTGATTATCTGCAATTTAATTTTCGAAGGGGGTAGAGGCCATGATGTTGATGGCATCCAAGTAAAACCGAATTCGAGTCATATATGGATAGATCGTTGCAGCCTAAGCGATTATGATGATGGGCTGATTGATATCACCCGAGGGAGCACCGATATTACCATTTCTCGGTTCGCTCTTACTTTCGAAAATTTTCCCTTTTTTTTTTTTGTCCATGAAACTTTATATAATAATAATAATTATATTCTTAAATAAAAAATGCTCCCTTCACCCATTTTTCAGAGGTAAGGAAATGCATATTATTTGTACCTTCTTGTGCCCTTATTTACATAACTTTCAACATCGACATACTTTGAATTATCTCATCAAAATTGGGGGGTAAAAACGTGTTAAAAGAAACTAATCTCACCTAGAACTAATTAATGAAACTATTATTTGGGACGAAAAAGGTGATGTTATGGGATGAAGGTATGAACTGTTTTGGAGCTTATAAGTTGTTTCTTTAAAGAAGTATGGAGATCCCACTTTTTTATCTCAAAACCTCCCGAAATAAAAGGCCATAATTTTTTTTACGACTTTTTACTTCTGATTATAATTACAAAATTATTCTTCTTTACATTGTAGTAAGCTCCACATGCTATTTTATACAAGTCTTTCGTAGCTTAATAAGACTTTAAATTTACTAAGCCAATTACAATTGTGATTTTATCTTTTTTGTTGTTTGATTGATTTAATAGGTGTTACTTTGCGAACCATGATAAAACCATGCTTATTGGAGCTGACCCTTCGCACACAGGTGATAGATGCATGCGTGTAACAATTCACCATTGTTTTTTTGACGGGACTCGGCAGAGGCAACCGCGTGTTAGATTCGGGAAAGTACATTTGTATAATAATTACACTCGAAATTGGGGAATTTATGCTGTTTGTGCCAGTGTCGAGTCACAGGTAATGCTACTAATAATGCCATAATTTTCCAGCCGGACTGAAATAATAATATATTTTTATATGCACTCTGTTTGATCTCTTAAGGGGTCTGTTTTTTCGCCGATATAGATATATTCACAGTGCAACATATATGAAGCTGGCCAAAAGAAGGTGGCCTTTAAGTATTACACGGAAAAGGTATTATTATGTGTTTCGGTGTATAATTCAACAAGATCCGTAAAATTCACATTCTTTTACATTTTGGTGTTTGTTCCTATATACTCCATGTTTACGTGCAGTTTAAATTATCTCTTTGTAAACTCTCTTCAAATCCAAATCCTTCCATATGGGAGTTAGGTATTTTCTTAAGGCGGAAATGCATTTTTAGTCATTTGGTTTAATGTCATAGCATTTTAGTCCCAAGTTTCCAACTTATCGCCTTTTGGTCATGTGGTTTAATATTTTACTTTATATTTTTTTGAGAATTGAATTGCAACAGAATTTAAATTACAGGACTAGAATTTTAAATTACAGGACTGAAATTGCAACAAAGTTTTAAATTGCAAGACTTGGCTAATCGAAAACCAGTGAATTCGGGAATTTGTTGTAATTTTTTAGAACTGAAATTGCAGCAAAATATTTTATCATAGGATCAAAAGGCAAAATGTTCGAAACTTTGGACTGGAATTGCCAGTATGACTAAAAATGCATTTTTTTTTTGCCTTTTTTAGTAGTTTTAGGCTTTTCTTAACCGTTTTCTTCAACTCCTCTAGCCGTTTATTCTTTTCTATGTTTTCTTGTTTAATAATATATCTATCGTTTGGAAAAAATGTATATATATAAAATAAATAGTGGTATCAAATCTTTAACTCGACATTTTAAGCTATTTTACCATGCAGGCTTCTGACAAGGATTCCGAGTGTACTGGCTGTGTTAAATCGGAAGGCGACTTATTCATAAGTGGGACCCAACACGGTTTAGTGTCCCTCTCGACCGAGACTTCCGTTTTCCACCCGAGCGAATATTACGAGACATGGACAGTCGAGGCTCCTACCGATGAGCTCAAGCATTTTCTACAACACTGCACAGGTTGGCAAAATATTCAAAGGCCAGCTGATTCACCGGTTTCTTAATTTCTTGGAAGAAATAAACAAAAACAATATTGTATTTATAGTATTTACTATTTACCAACACCACTCGTTTCGTGTTTGTAATTACCAAATAGTTTTCGAAAGAATCGGAAAAAAAAAAAAAAAAAAAAAAATTACCACGAGGAGAATCTGTAGTTTTCGATTTTCGAACACATTGTGTTAGGCTGAAATAAGCTTCATGTTTCCAGTTTGAATATTGTCAGGTAAGACACAATTTATGTCTCTCTTGAGCTTTTTTTTTTTTTTTTTTTGATATATTTCTCGTTTTTAGAAAAAAAAAAAAAAGAAAAGGAATGTTTAGAATGCAATGGATGGATATGAACGTAAATATTTTTCCATACACCAAGTAAAAAATGGGAATTGTTACAGTCTCGTTATGAAACTATTTTGTCGGGATTTGTAACTGTTAGATAGTCATGTTACCGTTGTGGGGTAGTTGATCGAACGATTACAAATTACGACGAAATGATTCCGTAACGGGATCGTAGAATCTCCTGTAAATAATACACTATAATTCACCAATTTTATTTAATCTTTTATTCACCTTCCTTTATCAACACAATTTAAAATTTATTGGTATTCATTTACATACATTTTTTTAACTATCAATTATATTATTAGATAAAATTATACATCACACCACATCAGTTTTAGTTGTTGCATCTAAATTTTCCACCAATCACATCTCCCAAAAGAAAAATGATGGAATCTTTAATTATCTTAAATAAATAAAAAAAAAAGGGATGGAATCTTTATTTTTCCAATCTTATTTTTCCAATATTGAAATATACCTACTAATATATTATTTTTTTTTATAGATTTCACCTTATTTGTGATTGTGATTGCAGTGAAATTATCGGTTTTGTCCCCATTTGATCAAACACACACCCACGTGGATATGTGTGTGTTTTATTCAACATAGTTTTTTTTTTAAAATAAAAAATAAATAAATCTGTAATTGGATAATCGAACTACCATATTGATGACTTGATGGTAAGAAAAAAACTGAGAAATTTGACTTAAAAAAAAAAAAAGAAACTTAATTTTAATTTTTCAGTGAAGGGCATTAAAAATAAAAATTCTTTGCATGAATCTGACGCATAAATCATTCAGCCTATTATTATATTATTAAATTATTTGAAACATGTATACACCCATATTTGATTTCATAAAAAAGGGGAATTGAATCCATCAACTATTAAATCAATTATTCTATATCAATTGACAATTAATGCGTCGAGATATGCTATTTCGAATTGTCAAGGAATACCAAAATTAGATAATAATTAATGCATGACGGGAAAAAAATACTAAAAATAATTTAAGTCTAATCTTATTTTATACATAAAGATATAGTATTGATACCATGTACAACCAGTTTTATTTGAAAGAAATATATTATTATATTATTAAATTTATAATATATTATTATATTATTTGGCAGAATTATTAAATTGTTAATTTATATTATACTATGTACAACCGGTATTATATCATTTAGCAAAATTATATTAAATTAGTAAATTAAATTATATTATACCTTGTTCAACCGGCCTTAATCTTATTTATTCGAGAAAATTATAAAAATAGTTGGTAAAATAGTTGATTCCACGCATAACCCATTTTATTTGGAAAAATTTGGAAGAATCAAAAAGAAATTAGATATAAATCTTAGCATGCGATATTTAAGGGAGTAAATTGTTTGTTTCCATGCGATTATTAAGGAAGTTCTTTACATCATTACTATAAATAGGGTGTATTTAATGCTAATGGCGGGAAATAGTTTATAAAAGTGAATTATGTTAATCCTTATTATATATTAATAGATACATCTTTTTTTTTAACTATCAATTATATTATTAGATAAAAATTTTACATCACACCACATCAGTTTTAGTTGTTGCATCTAATTTTTCCACCAATCACATCTCCCAAAAGAAAAATGATGGAATCTTTAATTATCTTAAATAAAAAAAGGGATGGAATCTTATTTTTTCAATCTTATTTTTCCAATATTGAAATATTCCTACTAATATATTATTTTTTTTATAGATTTCACCTTATTTGTGATTGTGATTGCAGTAAAATTATCCGTTTTGTCCCCGTTTGATCAACACACACCCACGTGGTTATGTGTGTGTTTATTCAACATAGTTAAAAAAAAAAAATATATCTGTAATTGGATAATCTAACTTCCATATTGATGACTTGATGGTAAGGAAAAAACAGAGAAATTTGACTTTAGAAAACAAAAATTTAAAAAAAAAATTCTTAATTTTCCAAATACTCAGTGAAGGGCATAACTGGGAGTGTGTGGTCTGTATATTCTCACATTATTAAATATTTTTTGGTCTCACTTGGCTGGTGAATCCATTATTGTTGTTCAAGTTGATTAAAGATATTTAATAATATATGAAAATTTAGAAGATGATTGGATACAAATCTTTTCCAAAAAAAAAAAAAGAAAAAAAAATCAAATATTTTAACTCGCTCAATTTTTTTACTTCAGCCCAATTATTATTAATATTATCAATATAATTAAATAATATTAATCAATCATTATTACACACCACATCAACAGTAATTCACTATTCATCTACTCACATAATACTATTAACTAACCGTCACTTCAAATCGGCTCTCATACTTTTACACACGATCAATATTCATTATTGTATTTTAAATATTATTTTAATTTGAAAAAAATATATTATTCTAATTAATATACTCACTACCAAGTACCAACTAACCATACCAGTTTTTTAAAATTAACCATACCAAATCAAAATATTAAAAAAAAAATCCAAAATTTTTTATATTCAAGCAAATTAATTTCTAAGATTGACTGAGAAAAAAATGAAATTATAGAGTTGATGAATGAGAATATTGATATATTCATGATTGATTTAAAGTCAAAGTCTAGGAAAATGAAGTGGGAATTTTGCAATAAAAACTAGGAAAATTATTTGTGTCAAGTCTTTTAAGTTGAAGGGTTGGGGGTTGTTCTTAGTTGGTCTGTATAATATATATATATATATATATATGTTTTTATTTTAAAATATATTTTAGATAGAATAGATATAAAGGTATGGCATGTTATAATAATATAAATATAATTTTTTGTAATAAAATATAATTGATTAAACCGTTGGACAACAAATAGTAATATTTGTGTATGGGTTGAGATATAACCAATGTAACCCGAAGCCTATATTTTTCAATAGATATAAATATTTTCATAGCAAATTTAATATTTTATATAATCATAAAAAGTATGATAATATACAATTTAATTATATATATTTAAGAGTGTAACAATTTATTCCGTATAACCGTTAGGTTGTTCTTATACCAAAATTTACACTATAATTCATTATCACCCAAACTATTTATAGAAGATGTTAAGGTCCCGTTACGGGATGGGCACATTTTAACCGTCGCCCAAAAAAACCCCAAATCGCCTCAACCCTAGTCGCCCAAATTCGAGCTTTGCCGTCGCCCCCTTAACGGCGGTCTGGAGCCGTCGGTCGACGGCCTCCACCGCTCACTCAAGACGGTCCCGCGCTTGTCCCCTTTCGTGGTCCCTGCTCCAGACTCGTGGGTTGTCGTTGGGCGTGTTTGGAGGTGGCTGCGGTGGGTCGAGTTGTTGTGGCCGCGCTTGGTTGTGGCTTGGTTTGTTGAGGTGTCCCGGGCGGAGTTGCTGTCTCCTCGGTCTCTCTCCTCTCCCCGCCATCTGTGGCTCTGTCCTTCTGCACCGGTGAAGTTGCGACTGGGACGGCGAGCTTCCGTCTCCGACAACCGGCAGCGTCGTACGGTGGTAAGCTTCTCCCTTTCGCTGCTTTGTCTCAGTTTCTTTTGCTGCGACAGGTGGAGGCTTCTCGGTGGTCGGCTGAGATCTCCTCGGTTCTCTGCGGTGCTGCTGGCTGCCTTCGGGGATTGGACGGACTTGACGGCCCTCTTGGCTGGGTCACTTGGACGATGCCTAGTATTGTAGGCTTTCGGCCCTTCTTCTTCTATTTCGGCTGCCGGGCCGGTTTGGTTGAGGCTACCCAGGACTACTTGGTAGTTTTGATGAGTCGTTTCGGCTGGGGGTCGGTTTGTTCCTACAATTGTGTGGAGTGCGGGCTAAGCCCTTGGTTAGTTGTTGGATTGCCGAGCAGTCGCCTTGCTAGGCCTTTGCAGTGGTGGGCGGAGGTTTGGTTCTCTGAAGCTGGCTTCGGATTTGGTTTGTTCGGCTGACTTCTGGATTCGACTGTTGTGGGGGACGTTATTGTTTTAGTCGGTAGTTAGTTTGTTTTGTTTGTGTTGTGTTGTGAGCGTTTTGTGCCTCTTGTCCTTGTGTTTTTGTGTTTTTGGTCTGGGCCGTTGGCCCCTATTTACCTGGGTGTTACCTTTATCTTCCTGTTGGGAGCCAACACCTAGGCATTCTCCTGTTGGGAGCCTTTTGTTCTGTGATTGTGTTTTAGTAGTCTTTTTTCTCTCTCGTTGGGAGCTAGTTTCTAGTTGTTTGTGTTTGAGTTTGTTTTTATTCTGGCATTGCCAGCGATTCTAGGCGGACTTCGGTCTAGCCTCCCAGTTTGTAATTCCGCACTTTTGTGCGCCTTTTATATAGTACTCCTATCGTTTTGGAAAAAAAAAAGGTCCCGTTACGGGACGACACCATTAGCGTTTTTCAGTATTGGATAAAAAAAGTAGGTTCTATTGTGTGGATAATCTACTATAACAAACTGTGACGGAACCATTTCATCAACGGGACTTTAACCGTTCCCACTATTTATATTAATAGAAAACTGTTGTTTGAAAGTTTAATGGTTGGATACATATATACTTTACCATATACTTCAATTTAAAATGTTACAATACAAAAAATAAAACAACATGAACAAAATATAATATTTTATAATATAAATATATATTTTTAATAAAAAAAAACCGAATCGACCATCTTAAGTAAAAATAAATTTGGTGTTATGTTAATATCT